ATTTATGTTACTTTCAAAATTAATATCATAGGTCATAATCCAGCCCTGATTAAAGGGGAGATTGGCATACATTTTACAAGTAGGAATTCAAGAGGAAATAGTTGGCACTGAGGTTCGTTTTAAGTGTCATTTGAAAAGTCGCAGGTAAGTATATGACAGTACATTATGTATTTATTGTCCTGATTCAGATTCATGCATGCGTGGTATTTACAATCGCAGCCTAATTTATAGGCATCAGATGATATTTGGTAAGCTGCGTTTTTGTTCAGCATTGTATTTTTTGTTTTATAAAGTTTTAGTGATAACAAATGTTCCTTTATAACTCTTCATATAGAAAGATGCAAGATGTAATTAAGGTATAGTTATGATTGTTATTATTTTTCTGTTTTACTTATAGCACTCACCCTGGCATCAAATTGCCAGCAATTCAGCATTTCAAAGTTAGTTACTATTAAACTGTTCATTATGCTATTATTTTATCAGGGACTAGTTAGAACAAGGAAGGGATACATAATATACTCTAGGTAAGATTATTGATCATTATTAGTTCGAAATGTTAGTTTTCACCAGGTTTCTTGGATTTTGAAGTTACGTACAAATCACTTATCATTGAAAGAAACATTTTAAACTCTTATTTTTAACACTATTGGTTTTTCCTCTGTAATTATAACCAATAAAATTAAAATTAATTGTGAACAACTGAATATTTAAACATTAACGTTACATGCATATGCATATATGAATTTCTGAACACACCCTCTTACTGTCTCATTTCAATATTTCTTTTTACAGGCATTTTCAGCCAATTTTAATTAGACGGAATACGTAATATGCTATTGTCGAAGAAGTCAATCACTGAGAACAGTGAGAAGACGACATACTCTCGAGGCCTCGCTCGAGGCGCATACTCTCGCTAGGATAGATCCCATCTTCGAGTCCTATTTTTTCCTCATAGCATCACAGAAGACTATGGCGAGTGGTTTTGTAATAGAAGAAGATTCTTCTGGAGATGGTTAGTTAGTCTAGTCAATAGTCATTGCTCGCGAGGCTACCAGTAGTACACTACCTGTTGTCTGGATTACCAGATATCGTTACAGTTAATAATGTAGAGAATTACTTGTCTCAATCATTTGATGAAGTCAATAATGTGGTATTACTTGAGAATGGAACTGTTCGTGCTGAAGTTGTTGACAATAATGAAAGTAAAGATGGGTTCAGAATATCTACAGCGGATTTCACTTCCGTTTGAACATTGAGCATTGCGTGGAGATCACATGGACAGAAAATCAACTCACGCATCACGCAGTGTTCAAACGGAAGTGAAATCCGCTGTATTCTTGCGTTTACCCATTGCGTTATATAGCACTTCCGGTCACAACGCAAATATTCTGAACCCTAGTCTCGCGTAGCCAGCCCCTCCCTCAACGGGAGGGTCTGGTCGAATGAGTGTAGATCGTTCGTTCTACTTCACCCCAAAACAGGGTGAACCGGATGTGGTTGTAGTAGGCGTTACCTTAATCCTCGTGGTACATGAGATGCTCTTATTCAAGCTAAAAACTCTGGCACTAACGCAGAGAAAAGAAGCAGAAGAGAAGCTGTTTAGCCACCCAGACAAAAATTGTAGCCTGCTCTCTCCAACAGCCTCGCCAACAACAGATAGCAGATATTTAACCACGTGTTGCATAAAGTATGCGGTGGTGAACAAACATAATACGGACTAATTTAATTAATCACGGAGAACGAATGATGTACACTCATTCGACCAGACCCTCCCGTTGAGGGAGGGGCTGGCTACGCGAGACTACTGAACCCACCTTAAACGAGCATGTGCAGTATAAAAGGGGGGTGGTCTGCCCAAAAATGGAAGGAAATATTCAAAATGGCGATTACACGTGATAAAGATCTTGATAACATCAGTTGATTTACATAGTAACAGTAAAAGGAAGAAGCTACAATTGCCTGGCCTCTTATTTCCACATGTTTCTTGTTCTTATCTTCTGACTAAATCACGGTTAAGTTGTTTATAGCGAGTCATAGTGAAACAGGCCGAGCTTTAGGACGATCAAGGACTCATTCAGGATGACTTTTAACATCGAGTTTGAGTCTGCCGAAGAGAAAGGTGCCTTTAGTCATCATTTAGAAGATTTTCAATCCTTGCTATCTAAGAACAAGCTAGATAGCTTTGGTCTGTTGACAGCCATGTTTAATTTTATAGTTTTAGTTAAAGCTGCATGACGCATGGCTCTTTTGAGTCTTCTGCTGGTATAGGGAGTTAGTAAAACTGTCTGTACTCTTCTAAGAGTCTTTTTTAGATCTTGTGGATGCCTGTGGTGCTTGCATTCTGTGATTCTTCACTGCCCATTTTTAATTACATCCTAAAGCCACCCGCCATTTTTAATTGACTGGGCAGCCCACCCCCCTTTTATACCCGTGCACGGGTGTTTCAACTGGACATTTAGTTTATAAATAGAATAGTTGCGGTAGGTACAACATTGGTCAGTGAGGTGTGACCATTAATCATCACAAAAGAGAAGAGTATTGCTAAGGACATTACTCCAAAGTACTAGCTGCTATGACAGTACTACATTC